CCGGGCCTGCTGAGCGCGGGCCCCGCCGCGACGCCGGCCCTCCGGCATCGCCACTTCTGTGTCTGGGGAGGTTTCTCTTCTTTTCTGTGTCTGTTCGTATCCGGATTCCATTTTAAAGTTTACAATAAATGTTTCGGGGTTCGCTCGCCCCGCCGCACTTCTCCTTGGCAAGTCCGTCCCCTGGGGCCATGCCTGCAGGTCCCGGCGAGCGGTCCCCCGGCGAGGGCGACTCTGCGGGAAGAACCCGAGGACTCAGCGGCTGGACCTGAGGATGACAGGAGCGAGAAGCACCCGCCAGAACACTTTGTACACGGATGTGCCTGCTTTTGTTGGTACTTTCTTACTGTAAAGCTCTCCATGAACAGTGAAATGTTTGGTACATTTATTGCAATTTAAAATTGGTGAGTTACTTTATTAAATTAATTGCTATGTTACCGGAGATATTCATCACGTTAAAGAGTGTCTGCACAGGAATCGGTGTGGGGGGACCTGGTCGAATTTGGTCAGACAGACGGCGAGTCCCAGCAGTTGCAAGACCCCTGCCGGAGGCAAACCCGGCCTCTCTCTGGAGCAAACTTTGTGCGCCAGGCCGGAACGTTTCTGGTTTTGGAAACTGGTGACCGGCTTTCTACGTCAAAGCCGAGCTTATTTTTGGTTAACACATATGAACAATCCAATCCTACTTTGGAAAATCACAGTCATGGTTTTTCTGGCGAAGATTATTTTCCTGTCGATTAATTCATTAATCTGCTGATTTTGAATATCAGAGCATTTTATTTAAAATATACCCCTTAATTGGTGTGTAGATCATACTTTTGAGCCATTAGGATACATGTGTGTGCACATTTACACACACACTATCACATGCGTTCCGAACGATGGCGAAAAGGATGGCAGAGTGTTTCCATTCAGTCAGGTGGGCTGGCTGGGAGCCAGGCGGGCTCAGGGGCTGGAGCAAGGTGTGCTCCCTTTCCCGGGTGCTGTATCAGGCGGGTGTGCCACCGATTCTGAACTTGCTCAGAGGTGGGGACGCACCCAGTGCTCTGCCAGGAGCAAGCACTGCACAATCTTAGATGAGAAGAGCTAAGAGATGTAGGTGGCGTTCGGGGTCTGCTTCTTACTGTATAAAGTGCCCAGGTTCAGGGGCGGAAGAAGAGTTTCCAGGCGCAGGCTCTGGGCGAGGCCTCCCTGTAGCTCCCAGGTGCCTGAAGCCAGAGTGCCCCTACGCATGGGTGACCAAGGCCCCTGTTCCCGCCGGAACCTGGCCGCGCTGCCTGGCTGCAGCAGAGGCCGCTAGAAAGAGGAGTGGAGACCTGTCACCATTCGGGGTTGGGCCGTGAAGGTGCGAACCCGCCTCCCCTGTGCTCAGATCTTATCAAAGGGCAATGAGCCAGTGTCCTCAGAGGGTCATTTGTGGCCAGTTGACCAGGTTCCCATCCACAGGCCGCTTCAGATGCTCGTCCATGTCAGGGAGGGCGTGGCCCAGCCAGTCCCGCTGCTGGTCCCTGCGGTCTGGCCCTCTCCTGCCTCACGCCGCCAAGCTGCTGGCCTCCAACCTAAAGCAGGAAATGGAAGTGGCAGGAGAAGAGATTTTAAAGTACTTTTCCGCTTCTACGTAAGTCAAATCAGCACAGCATCGCCAGGCATGTCCTGCTTCCTGAGCAGGGCTGCTCCCCGTTCTTGGAGCAGAGACATCTTAGAGCTGCACCGTGGGGGTGGCTGAGGACACAGGTGGGCTCCTGGGCGGAGCAGTCATGGGCTGCATGACAGACAGTAGACCCCCTCCATGCCCCTCTGGTCACATGCCGTGTCTCGTGTCACACGATGTGTACAGCTCAAACGTTACATGCCTCGTGAACCAGTTTGCGATCAAGTCAGTGGCGTCTCAAGTTTTAGGTTTCCTCACGGCGGGGCAGAAGGCAGAAGCAGATAGGGCTTCTGGGGCACACAGACAGCTGTGTTCCCCTAGCCAGCTTCTATGTGACCCAACACTAGGTGACATTTTTTAAGGTGCACGTGTTTCTAACTTTACAAATACTCTTAATCCCACTTTATAGAGGCTGATGTAATGATGCGGGATCCCAGGGTTATCTTTTTGAAGGTTAACTACAGGAAAATGTCTCAAATACCCTTGAGCTGAAACTGTTCCAAAGATCAGCACCCAGGGAAACGAGGAATCACCGCGCTACCAAGCTTGCTTCCAGTTGGGGCCAACTTCCTGGTGATCGCCCCCAATTCTTCAAAGGTTACCTTAGTCACGGCAGCACTTTTTATTCACATTCATTTCAATTTTTGGAAGTTTAAGCTCGTTCAGAATTCTTTATGCTCCTTGGAAAATAATGCCAGCTCTTGGACCTTTCTCAAAATGGGTCTTTTCTGCTTCTCCAGATGATAAACTTTTGGCCTGGTGGAGACCAGATCAAAAGTTCATTATTATGATGAAATACCAAAATTAAACACATTTTAGCATTTTTACACGGCTTAGTGCTGAGTCTGTAGGTTATTATTTTAAACATAAAGGTGGTTTACTTTTAAGGGACTAATTAATTAAGATGACACATGATATAGTTGTCAAACAAGCTGTGCTTCATTAAGAGAGAGAAACAGATGTTCCCAGGGTCTCAGGTGTCTGGATTTACCTGCTATCCCTTAGACAGAGGCGGTGCTCTGCCCTTGGCAACAACACTCTGAATCACACAACTGAATTTTTGAATGAAATTCAAGTAAACAAGCATTTAAGAAATCCGATGGCGTTTGTGGTGAAGATCAAGTTGCCGGTGATTAAAGTTTTTACTCCTGGCTGGTGTCATGACACAGTACAGGCAGAATCCTCAAATATGCACACATGAGTCCACTGGTGCACACATACAAGCGCACACATGCACACGGGAGTGCACATAAACACAAAAGTACACGTGTGTGCACACATGCACGTTTGCATAGTACACACACACGTGTGCATACACGACCTCTCGGGTGGTGTCCGAGGGCCAAGCTAGCAGCCTTGCCCAGGGACTCCGGGACTCTAGGCGGAAGCTGTGGACAGGTGCAGCCCATCCCTGTGCCTGAGCCTTGTAGGGAGTCCCCGGGTGGGTCTGTGTGCTCAGACATTGTGCTTGCTTGGTGCCAACCCCTTCGGTCACCGTTGGGTCGCCTTTGGGTCGAGCTCCCCATCTGAATGAAGGCGGCACACATGCCACACTGTCCTGCCATGCCCTCAAGGTTATTGCTCCAAAGCACTGTTTTTTCACCAAGACGTGAAAGAAAATAAATGATAGAGACCTTAAGAAAAATGAATTCTGGCATATAAATGAGAGTAAACTTTATATATCCGTGTACCTATTTTGTACATGACAAGGAGTCAGAAGCCTAATATCACTTGGTTTACTTTCCAGATGATTAATTTGCTACTTTTCAGCACAGTAATTGACAGGAACAAAATACCAACAGAATGGGAAAAAATTTTAACCTAGGAAAATAGTACACGTACATGGTTATGTCCCCCGTGTGAATTCTCCTGCGG